TCTTTTAGTGTTTTTTGGAAGAGTAGGTGTTTTTATACTTGTTTTTGTATTGTATGTTGTTGCTTTTCACAAAGTTTATGTTGCGATGTTGTGGAGATTGTGTATTTTCAGCAAGTTTTATAAGGGGAGGAGTGTACTGATGTTAGTCACGTTGCTGGAGAACGTGTGGAGGAAACTGTTCATAAGAAAAGTGTTGTTGTAGAGGAAATATAGGAAGTGGAACTGACATCTGTTCGTGCGCAAATTATTTATCAGTTATGAAAGAAATTATAATCGAAACGTGGAATTTGCCGAAAAGTAATTATAGCATACAGGTTCTTCATAACAGAATTTGAAACAGGATACTTAAAATCGTAAATTCAAATTTCTAGATGACGGCGACGCAGGACTATGACGTGGCCCAACGGCGTCGTCGTGCGAAAGTCGTCAATTCGTAAGCTCCCTATTAGCGGAGATGACCCCTCCTACTAGCAGACATAAGACATCTGTTACTCAAAGGAGAAACGTAAGGGTATTTGTGCGGAAGGGTATCCGGAAAAATATAATTTCTGACCATTCCTCCGCATTCATAATTAATTTCACAACCAGGACGCCGAAGTGCAAGCTCACATAGCATCTTGTTTAACAAAAAACTCGCGCGGACACTGTCACTATCCTCTATAGCGAGCGTTTTCGCGCGAGTTCGTTACAAATTGCCAAACAGGCCACACGGACACTAGCCATACTCTAAAAACCCTAAAAAAATAAAGAAAAGATAACCCCAGAAGAAGAGTCCACCAAGCATGTCGTTGGCCTGTCGATCGATAAGTGGACGAATTATCATACCGACCAACACGATTGGTCGACATATCAGTCGATACGCGGTCGACCCATAGGTAAACCTGAAGACCGACACTCGACCGCCTAAAATACAGATATAATGTTGGCAGAGACATCGGCGAAGAGTTGGCCGATATATATGTCGGACAACGTGTCGACCGATACTCGACCGTGGGTGCCTTCAGTGCACAAGATCCTTCAATTCTTGTTCTTGGCGAAGGATCTCAGAGCAATCCTGCATGTCCTGTCATCCTGTTTACCGATCTTTTGCACAATTTCCGCATATGACAATGATAACTGCATTAACGTGTCAGCAATAGTTTCCTGTTTTTTAGAGTCTAGTCATAAGTATCAGTATCAATATCTTTAATCCGATACCACAGAAACTTTTTAAAAATCAAGGCAAATGGCATGTTACAGTTTGCGGGGCGGAACCTCCAAACAGCTTCAGTGACTGTTAAAAGAGAAAAACCGAAATTTTCAATATTTGACAAGCCTGAGAATAGGGACATGTTAATATTTAACATTCCGTAATATTGAAATTTCGACACTCTTCACTGAGTACGTTTGACTGTGTGTACATCATGCAGGGTAGTAAACTAAGTACTTGAAGTTTTGATTAGCAGAGACTATTAGGCCCGGTTCAGACGCCGAACTTTTCATCAGCCGAACCTAATACTGTATACATTGAATTAAGTACATGAAAATTTCGGCGTCTGAATCAATTAGCAACGCCTGTTTCAATTTGGAACGGCTCAGCCGTTCTTTTCGCCTAGCCCGGCCGGGAATTTCGCCTTTGGAGCGGCTTGGAACGGCTTTGATTCAGACGCCGAACTTTTCATGTACCGAACCTAATGCATTAATTATTATAACGTATTTTGTAAGCAGTTTTACCATTTTCGCCTATGAACTTAAGATCGGCGTCTGAATCAATTCAGCCCTTCTAAATAATTTGGTTCGGCCTTAATTCGAATTAGGTTAGGCTCATGAAAGGTTCGGCGTCTAAACCGGGCCTTAAAAATAGAACTAAGCCCGCTTAAACAAGCCATACCCAATGTTCATGGTGTTGATCTCTTCCGCCATTTCCAGTGAGGAAACAATAAACTTTTCATTCTTCTTCCCCGAAACGCTACTGCAAACTGACTCCAACAGAAGCAAAACAATTATTCGATGCATCGTTCTTGAGATCGCATGAGCAAGCTAACTTTGCAGGAATAGCTGGCAGTGCTTGGCAGTCGGCTGCAGGTTCGAACTTTTAAGATAAATGCTGAATCACGAGGTTGTCATGTTACGGCTCGCTGGCTGATCATGTGAAAGTCACAGAGGCGGAAGATAACGACGTCACGCTTGAACGTAACCTTTTCCATTGCGGGGGAGGGGGACCATTCATTCAATAAATGAATACAGTGAAACCTGTATTAAGCGGACACCCTCTACTAAGCGGATAGTGGCCGAAGTCCCCAAATTTATTTCCCTTATTTACTTTAAATGAAACCTTTATTAAGCGGACACCTCTATTAAGCGGACGGGGACACCTAAAAAGTACCTAAAAAGGGCCATTTCTATTGTTGCCAACCTGTATTAAACGGACACTTGTAATTAAGAGGCCCTGCGCTTAAGAAACGACCGATGATTTCCGGCTAAAAAATAAAATCGGCCGATTTTTATCTCCCAAGTAGAGGTTATCGAATACTATTCAAAAATGAATTTCTTTTGTTTCAGTTTCGCTTTAAACCAAAAATATCGAGCCGCAAACTTTTTCCGTCTGATAGCAGCAAAAATCAGGCCTAAAATAAGCTCTCGCAAAAAACGGTTCAGAAATCCCTATCGCGACGCAAAACAACGAGAAAACCACACAGTGATGAAGAAAAGGGCCTTTTAATGCAATATCATTCGATAAACATCGAAAAACTGCCGAAGGGAATAAAAAATAAATTTTCAAATATTGCATATTAAATTAGATGGAGCGTTGGAGCTGATTTTAAAATAATTATTTCTCAAAAGTCCAACGCTGTTGAAAGCAATCACAGTGATGAATCAGACATTGGAGGGATATGCATTACGATTCTGGAAAAACATTTTTCGGCCAAAGTATATTGACGTCGTACAAAGCGTTCAAAGTTGCAGTGTTTACCGTTATCTTGCTACTTCGGCGAAACACTTCTCTGTTGCCAATACGGCCGTGGATAGCGTGGTAAACGCCACTTTAATCCTTGCTAGGCGCTCAGAGACCATCCTAAGTAGAAGGAAGTAGAATTAAAAGGGAAAGGAAGATGAAAAATAGGCAGAAAAAGAAAAGAACTCGAAATTACCATCTGCTGACGAAACTTGAATCTGGAAAATGTCGTCGCGTGACAGCGACCAATGACGTCATTTTTCTAAACTGCGGCGGAATCTAAGCGAATGCACAACTTTTTCCCGGCCAGAAAGCACCTAGTGAAACAATGTTACAGTAATGTTATTTTTTCACAAGCGATGGTGACTTAAAAAGAAAAAATTCCCGAACCGCCGCACCGTTTTGGCCCCAGCGTGATCTGATCGTTGTGGGGTCACGAGTTGACGCTTCTGGCCAGCGGTCTATTGAAAGAAATCTGATCCCACGTTTTTTTTTTTGGGCGAGAATCATTCATGTCAATGTCCAATGTCTTCCTTCAAGGAAAAAAAGAGAGAGATATTGGAGTACTGTTGCTCCCGAGAACGAGGAACATCTTGGACCCGAAAACTGAGTTCATTACGCCCAAGAATTACGGTTTTTTTTTCTCAAAGGACTAGTATGTGGCGCTATAAAATGTAGCTAACAGATTCAATTCTTGGCACAATGATTAGCCTCGCGTTTAGTATTTTCTTGTACATGAAAATACCGGGGGTGACGCTATTTGGTGGAATGGTGGACTGACGGAATGACGGAACGGAATGATGGAATACATGGAATATTCTAAAAAACGGAATATACGGAATACTCTAACACGCAGAATAAGAGAAAAATCGTTTAAAAAGGGTATACATGTATACAGTAGACTCCAATGACTCGAACCCTCGCTACTGACTCGAACCTCGTGCTAACTCGAAGTGATACTAATTTTTGTTTCTCTTCAGGTCATTTCTATATAATTTTACCCTCATTAACTCGAACCATGTTTTAAGCGCGTGACAAGTAAAAGAATTGACTTACCGTAATCATTCGATTTAGCGCCCAGGCGCTTATTTACTTTTGGTGCCTCTAGGGAGGACGCTTATTCGGGACAGGGCGCTTATTTCTTTTTTGAGAAACAACCAAATGTTAAAAAAAGAACCTTGATATTTATTTTAAAACGAACAACATTTGAAACTGTAGCATGCGCAGTAACAAATACTGACGGTGAATGCTCAGTTTACGCGAGGGACTTACCTTGAAACTTGTTGGGCACTTAGTCGATGGAACTTTCCTTCCTTATATTCACCTTTCTTAAAAAAGCTCGCAGTCAAAACAAAGTGCAAGTCGATTAAGGTAATGGATCAAGGAGACTGGAAAACGGACTTTTTGTTCCTGGATCCTTCCTCGCCAGAACGACCAGCCGAGCAATCTCCACAAAATTTGAAGAAGAGATCATTCCTTTGAAGACTTTGAAGACTCTGGAAAATCTAAAGCAAGCGACCGGACAAATTTAGGCACAGGTGCGGCCCCCATTAATTGGCAGTACAATCCTGTCAAGCTTAAGTATACAATTCTTTTTTTTTAGAACAACCGTTTTATGAAAGTTATCCGACATTAGATTCCTGTGATACCGGACCCTTCACCCGTCAAGATGGCTTTCAAAACCGTCATAAGGTCTATAGTGTGGCATACGGCAGTACGAAAATTGAATTTTTAATATTGCCTCTGCTTTTTCGTCAGTTCAGTTCAAATCAAATACAGAATATTCTCTAAATTCCGTGTTTCAGAGAATTACGTATATTCCATATTTTACAACTGATTCAATGTATTCCGCCATTCCGCCGAATAGGGTCACCCAAATATTGGGGAGGACATCATAAAAAAATATAGGAGACCGGTAGGACTTTTAAATCGATGACAGTGCCTCGCTCATTGTGCAACTTCATTTTATAATATGCTTCATAATTTGTTTCCACAATAATATTTATGATATTTAGATGATAACCAATGCGCAACGCACAACTTGTCACATTACCTATTGGACAGCATACCATGCACTCAAACTCTTGCGCAGGAAAGTTACAGAATGAAATTATTTTTTGCTGCACTCAGTCACATTCCTTTACACTTAAACCTCGGCTAAAAGGTCTCTTTTTAGATCTGTAGATTTGTAAGGTATTTCGAATACCCGCACATGTACATGTCTTTCAACACTAACATTGAAAGATGAAAGTTTGTTGCTGTGATAATTATGACAAAGATTGTAAACATCAAATATAATTGGATGTTTTAAGCCCCAATATTCTATCACCTCTTCAACAGCATGGAGGGGGAAATGGGGGCTTACGGTATTGAGCTTTTTTTCAAGCGGTATTGCGGTATCATTTAGCTCTGCGGTATGCGGTATTTCTTCCTTTTGGTTAACGGTATTCGGTAAAAGAAGATCACGGTATTGCGGTACTGTTTACTGCCCTCTCCTGTTTAATGCTAGCCTGCGTAGCAGGCGTTTGGATGACTCCTCGCGTGTCTCCCTCGTGCGCGCCCGTTCTGTCTCGCGCCCACTACTTCCACAAGGTCCAGAGGAGTTTCGTGTGAATAAATGAAACTCACCTTGAAAAATGTCTATACCTGTCGCTTAGCACGATTAATTAGCTCAATGGGATCTTTATAAATCTACTGTAAACGATTTCTTCGCTTCTTATCTGACCCGGATCGACTTTTGAAAATCAATAACCGCAAGCCATATCCTCGCTGGCGCACGGCACGTCGCCTAGCCTGAGTATCAGGCCTTCCTAAGGGGCTAGGGTAGAGGAGATTTTTTTCTTTCCCCTTTTCCCCAGAAACGCCTGATACTCAGGATACACGTCGCGACTATAGAATGTGTAACGAAACTGTAACGCGATCAAAATAACCCATTTTTTCAGAGGTTTTCGACGGGTTCTGATGTTCTAACGACAAACACATCTCCTCTGGACCCTGTGCTACTTCCGAGCGCCTGCTACGCAGGCTAGTTTAATGCTCGTCAGTATTTTTAAGACTTTAGATTAATGGTAAATGATTACCATTACACAATTTCTGACAGATAATCTGTGATGAAATTGGTAGGGTATCTTTTCCGTTCGTTGTACCGATCAATTCGAGGTCGTCTCACGTTTCCTCGCAAAATTAAACACCGCGCTACCGTGAGAAAAATTGGTAAATACGGTAGGTACTTCATATATGATTATTATTATGTACCTAAACATAATTATTATATCCTACTATATATTATTATTATTACACTATAAACACCTATACCCCTATATACCCCATACAACACCATATACCCCTATATACCCCTATACAACACCATATACCCCTATATACCCCTATTACACACCATATACCCCTATACAACACTATAAGCCCCTATATACCCCTATACAATACCATATATCCCTATATACCCCTATACAACACCATATACCCCTATATACCCCTTTACAACGCCATATACCCCTATATACCCCATACAACACCATATACCCCTATATACCCCATACAACACCATATACCCCTATATACCCCTATACAACACCATATACCCCTATATACCCCTATTACACACCATATATATACCTATACAACACTATATGCCCTTTATATACCCTTTATACAATACCATATATCCTTATATACCCCTATACAACACCATATACCCCTATATACCCCTATACAACGCTATATACCCTTATATACCCCCATACAACACCATATACCCCTATATACCCCTATACAACACCATATACCCTATATACCCCATACAACACCATATACCCCTATATACCCCTTTATACAACACCATATACCCCTTTATATAATTCTATACAACACCATATACCCCTATATACCCTTTATACAACACCATATACCCCTATATACCCCTTATTACACAATTATATACCCCTTATACAACACTATATGCCCCTATATACCCCTATACAATACCATATACCCCTATATACCCCTATACAACACCATATACCCCTATATACCCCTATACAACACCATATACCCCTATATACCCCATACAACACCATATACCCCTATATACCCCTATACAACACCATATACCCCTATATACCCCATACAACACCATATACCCCTATATACCCCTATACAACACCATATACCCCTATATACCCCATACAACACCATATACCCCTATATACCCCTATACAACACCATATACCCCTATACAACACCATATACCCCTATACAACACCATATACCCCTATATACGCCTATTACACACCATATACCCCTATACAACACCATATACCCATAAACAACACCATACACCCCCATACATCACCATACACCCCTTTACATCGCCATATACCCCTATACAACACCATATACCCATATAGAACACCATACACCCCAATACATCACCATACACCCCTTTACATCGCCATATACCCCTATACAACACCATATACCCATATACAACACCATATACCCCTATACAACACCATATACCCATATACAACACTATATACCCCTATACAACACCATATACCCCTATACAACACCATATACCCATATACAACACTATACACCCCTATACAACACCATATACCCCTATACAACACCATATACCCATATACAACACCATATACCCCCATACATCACCATACACCCCTTTACATCGCCATATACCCCTATACAACACCATATACCCATATACAACACCATATACCCCTATACAACACCATACACCCCTATACATTGCCATATACCCATATACAACACCATATACCCCCATACATCACCATACACCCCTTTACATCGCCATATACCCCTATACAACACCATATACTCATATACAACACCATATACCCCTATACATCACCATACACCCCTATACATCACCATACACCCCTGTACATCGCCATATACCCCTATACAACACCATATACCCATATACAACACCATGTACTCCTATACATCACCATACACCCCAGCACATCACCATATACCCATACACAACACCATATACTCCTATACATCACCATACACCCCTATACATCACCATACACCCCTGTACATCGCCATATACCCCTATACAACACCATATACCCATATACAACACCATGTACTCCTATACATCACCATACACCCGAGCACATCACCATATACCCATATACAACACCATACACCCCCATAAATCACCATACACCCCTTTACATCGCCATATACCCCTATACAACACTATATACTCATATACATCCCCATACACCCCTATACATTCCCATACACCCCTATACATTCCCATACACCCCTATACATTACCATACACCCTATACAACACCATACATTCCTATACATCCCCATACACCCAATATATTCCCATACACCCCTATATATCACCATACACCCCTATACAACACCATACATCCCTATACATCCCCATACACCCCTCTACGTCCCCATACACCCCTATAAATTCCCATACGCGTCTTTATACATCACCATACAACCCTATATAGTACTTTTATGTGTGTCATTGTCCCATTTTATTTCTAGATGCCTTACATTCAGCAAAGCATATATAGCATTAATTCTTGTCAAAGCTCGCCACTAGTGGTGTGGCTGCATAGCATGGTTGCCCCCGTGGTGGTAAAGCTGTCTGCAAAAAGTCCTTTAATTGCTTAAGTTCCCAAAAGATGGTGGCTTAAAAAGCTCAATCTAACATCACGTCGCAGTCACGCAACGGCAAAGTAAAGTCGTAGTGTTTTGCTAATCCAAGCATATTCTTATTGTTTTGGGGGCGTTCTCGTCGGCTTCGTTTTCGTCGTTTCTTGGTTCGAAGAGTAAGCCGGCCGACTTGTGCCGTTATGGGACTGGGGGGTGGAGGAGGGGAGGGGGCGGTGAGATTAAACATGGACTGAAGCGACTGCAAATGCGTCTGATTTCCGTAGTTCCTCCGCAATTCGGCTACTAGTTCCAAGGTCAGTAGAGAAAACATTATTTATTTAATTCATCTATTCATTTATTTTCATTATTGGTATATGACCTTCAAATTTCAAGTTCATCAATGCTTGGTGTTTTTGGGCAGTCTGATTGGTTGATAGTTATCTCCTAGGCCAAGCTCTTTCACAGTATATAATCAACAAAAGCATAAATAAACTTCAGACATTCATTAATAATTCATTAAAAACAAAACAAAACAAAGAAATTTTTGTTTGTAAAATGAGTGTCTTTATGTCTGATAAAAAAAAAACGGCTAACCTTTACGTTCAATTGTTAGGCCATAATAACCACAAATCTAAATATATTTGTGCAAAAATGAGTTCATCTATAAAATTAGCGGAGAATTTGAAGCCATTCAAAACAACTCGCAACTCGCAATTGTGTATTACCAGGTGTAAAACCTCTCGGCTTCACAAATTTTTTAAACCTGATTATACACTCATGCACATTTTTTTAAACATGCAGTGCACCTTTCCCTCAATTCGCCTATGATCTCTGACCCGAGGTTAAATTTGTAACCCTGTTCCTTTTTCTTGTTCAAAAGCTCAACAATGACTATGTTCTGACAAATGTGCGATTTTTGCCGCTACTTGAGCTGTACTTTTTCGTTCAATCGTTAAAGACATTTCCTTAACCTTGTCCGATTCTGCAACGAAGTTGTACAGCGTTGAAAAGTTTGATGAATTTCTTGGAAGCTCTCTAATGAAGAGAATTTCTTTACAAACTACTAGACACAATGTTTCTAGCAGTCTCCAAGGTCCCGAGGTCACTGGAGCTTTCTGTCTTTCCATAAACTCTTTTCCTCGTTGTCTCTTGTAGGTTGAAATGGTAGCTCTCCTTCTCTTTCTTCCTGTGCGTGGTGAAGCGGAAACACCGCCAATTTGAAAGATATTTCCACAGTTGTAACATTTGCATGACTCGGTACACCCGAGTCCTTCGGCAACGCATGGACATTTTGTTTTTCTTTTTCCATCTCTGCACGATACACGACCTTTATCTTCTTTGTTTAAGGTATTACCACATGTACATCCGCGTTTGCCTTTGCGTGTTTCGCCTAATTGCCTCTCTCCCTCAAAGGCAGCATTATTTTTGTTCTTACAATTGAAACAGCGACATTTTCTTGAGCACGCTTGACTTTTTCTGTTACAAAGACCGTTTAGAAGATGTGCAAGCCATTTTGGAAGGGTCTTGCCACAGGTACATCTGGTTTTAGTGTCATTTCCTTCCGTTTCATCATTCGAATTCAGAAATTCTGGAAACATACCAGAGAAAAAATACAGTGTAAGTAAAACCTCTCAAAGGAATGGTAACCCTCGTTGTTATCATCATCATCATCATCATCATGATTAATTATTATTATTACAATTATTATTATCCTATGGACTAGTTGATTTTTAAGATATCCACGTTTCAAATGATAGATACTCGTTTTTTTCTTCATCTGTAAATAAGAGAGTATCTTCTTTGATATTTATGATTGAGTGATTGCCAATCCAATAGGTAATAACGAGTTCGGAGAGCATGGGATGGCGCAGTAGCTAGCAGTAGTGAAAGCGCTCGCCTCCCACCAGTGTGGCCCGGTTTTAAATCCCGGCGTCGACGCCATATGTGGTTGAGTTTGTTGTTCTTCCTCTCCTTTGCTCTGAGAGTTTTTTTTTGCCGGTAGCATTTCCAAATCCCAATTCGATCAGGAATCAGGTAGAAGAAGAACCACTTTGTGGATGTGCTACCTCTAAATCGTTATTTCTTTCTTTATATATTTATTTGCTTATTTAGAAGACTTTTATAAACACACACGGGCAGGAAAACGTACAAATGCCAATAACAAAATCATCCAAGCAAACGTGCTACACTTAAACTAGGCTTAAAACGGAATACATCGGGAAATTGAGTAATTTTGATTTTCAGTGAACAAAAACCTTGTACCAGAACAATTTAAATAATATCGCATTCTTTTTCACATTTTTCAAGGGCTATGGATATATAAACAGTTATCTGTAATGACACCAAAGACTATTTCTGATGGGAGCCCGAGAAAATAAATGTCAAATTTCACGAGAATTGTGAAAACACAGGTAAAGTTCTGAAAATTTCACGTGTAAGGTGTCATTTTGTGAAATTTGACATTTATTTTCTCTGGCTCTCATGAGACATTTTCTTTTCACATTCTTTGGTGTTACAGATAACTAATTGCATCCATAGCCCTTGAAAATATAAAAAAAGAATGCGATGTTGTTTGAATTATTCTGGTATTTTTGTACAATGAAAATTTAAATTACTCAATTTCCTTGTGGATTCCGTCTTAATGCCTTATGCATGCTTATTTACCTTTTGTAGCGTCATAATGCCCTGGACCTGAATGGTCGTACGCCAGATACATAGGTACAGCAGTGATGAAATGTTTTGGTAAAAATGGAATGGATGGGACATTAGGCAAAGCTGTAATTACAATTATCGGGACACGGAGGAGATTGGCACATGCCTTAGCACAGATGTCGCCAATGTCACTTGCGAAATGGCCATCAGTTTTAAAACGTTCAATTTCCCGTACATTTGACGAACACGACATCTACTCCCTGTATTCATCGAGATTTTCAGTGACTTCACGCACGAAAAGTAGTCTGAGGTTTTCCGTGTCACGTTCCTCGTTGATTCCAAGCCCCAGTGAGGAAATATGCTGTAGATTTTGCAAATCCGAACGTTGCAAGTGTTTTTGTAGCTGCCGGGCTGTTGCTCTGAAGAAGCAGTTTCCGTCTTTGTTAATTGGGTCCAACTGAAGATTAAATCCTGTGAGATTTCTTAACAGGTTATCTTTGTGCTGTGGGGTCAAATTTAATTACATAACGTTTAACTTTGACTCCTGTTCATAAAGGTTAGCTGCCGGTAAGTTTATCTTCCAGAGAAGACCAATCAAATCTATTGTTTTGTTGTTACATTTTGTTGTCCAACTGGTGATAAATTCTTGTATGTGCAGCGCTCGTTCCAAAATGTAGTTCAAGACGGAATCGTTTTCCAGTTCTTCCACAGTCTTAACTGTGACGAAAACGGATGATGTCCCTGGCATTCTACTAGCCTTACTGCTATTTTCAGAGACAGTTCCAGATATTGAACCCGGTAATGACGTTGACGTAGAATCCACAGCCGTCATGTGAGACTGAAGATAAGGGGTCGCTTGGTTTAAAGACTCCAAAGGCTCTAATTCAATTGGTGTGATCGGAATTGTTCTCTTATTGAGGGTTGTTTTTAATCTTCGTTTGCAATTCCATGCATACAAAGCACACGCCATTACCGCTACCGCCAACTCAGGTCCAATTTTGGATACTCCGCTCAGTAATGATCGGTTAAGATGTCTGTGAAGTCGCTCATTTATTTCAGTCCCACATCCAACAGGTATTTCCGAGAGACATCCTTTTTTTATATGCTTGCGCAAATTTTCAATTTGAAGAAGGGTTTCCGTTTTCAGCTTTTCTCTCCAAACAAATAGAAGACGTTCAAGATTTGATTCTATTTCATCAGGACAAGGTGTGCTCATTGTTCTCTCGTTACCAAGGTCTCCATTTTGACGGAAAATTAAAGAAATTCATTAGCAAATTGTTTACTGTAATCTTCGCTTTTGGGTACCGTTTGTACAACTCTCATACACGCGTGAAATAAGTCTAGCCGAACCTTTATCCCCGAGAATATTTGTCCATATAGGTGCATCACGTGGCAACAGTCATCCACTATTATCATTTTTAAGTTAGTGCTTGCCTTATCAAGCCTCTCTTTCAGTTCTTTAAGTGAGTCGATAATTTCGGACGAAGAAGTCGTCTTCGTAAACTTCCATATCATAACTTCTCCGTTTTCGTTCACCCCCAAGAAGACGTTTTTAAACTGGCCTACAAACTTGCCGTCCTCGCGGGTTACCCCGATATGTTTACTCGTTCTAAAGGTGTGGTCACAGGACAGAATCTCCCCTGTGTGTTTCTGCATGTTATTCTCATAACGTTTTTTGTTCCGCTCAAACTGCATGAGAAACAAATCCATTAGTTTATCGTTGCTTGGATAGGCAATGAAAGGAATACTCTCAAACTCCTTTACAGATAACTCTTTGCTGTCCGGTTTATTACGCATGTACTGTCTGTAATTCATTGATGCAATGCCTTCAGATAATTCCATGAAGTTTTGTCCTTGATAAATACCAGTTATTAAATAATCATAAAGACGCAGCGTAAAACCGCTTCTCTGCTGCATTATAAGAGGAAATCCCTTAACAACACTTTCAGGGAGAGCGCCTAACACATCGTTTGATGCGGACAAATACCGATGTCCAATCATCACGTTTTCTGGCAAACTTTCACTGCATTCATAGAACGCCTGCACCAGAATAACATTTCCGTTCAAGTCGTAAATCAATCTTGGGTTTCTTGGACTTGTGTCGGAGGAGTCAGGAAGATCGGTCCACTGTCCGACTTTCAGAGGACAGCCATGAATAGGACATAAAATAGTCAAACCGTAATGTCTTATTGGACACCAGATAAATAATTTTGGTATTAATTTTGACATAGCGTGTGGCCCTTCAACAATTTGATCAAACCTTCCATTTTGCGGTGTACACTCAAACTCTCTTAAGACATCCCGCAGATATTGTCCTGCTTCTTTTCCAAGAAGAACACAGATGATTGTTTTAAATCCCAAAACAAAGAATAAGCAAGAAACAATGATTAAATTTCTCATTATGTCCCCTTGATGTCGAACATCTAACTGTCGCTGGGTGGCATCGATCTTGGTAATATACGGTTCAGCCGGGATCAAAGTGCTACAAAGCTTGTGCAATTTATTTCGCAACGTTTTACTTAGTTATATTACTCCACGAGCCATAGTTCATGTGACCTACCAAATTAAGGCGTTTAATGCATGTCCATGAAAGTCAGGAAGTACATTCAATATACCTTAGTAAAGTGTGAGCATTTTTTTTGTTCATTTTTGTTTTTGTTTGGCATCGCGGGTCGGGTATTATCCAATAAAAAGCTAAGAAAACTGGTACCCTTTTTAAGGCCCAAAGCCGAAAAATACACCCTATTCAAGGAAAAAACAAACATGTGGCTTGAAGAGGCATTACGTGTAATTACCCGCTTAACGTCTATTAAACCTCTGTCGCAAAATCAAAACCGTTCGTTTAGGCGCGCATTTTCCCACTCCAGTATTAGATAATGCAATTAACCTACCCTATCTAAGGACCACACCAGGGACACAGAAACAAAAGGGTCAAGAAAGATACCCTATTTAAGGACCGAGAACTTCAAACACCATACTCTATTGCGCGGCACGTACCTATATAGCCCATATATGGGAGTACCCCCCCCCCCGGGGAATAGATACTGTTATTCAAAACCCATACGTTAATCCTTCCAAGAACTTCGCGTACAGAGGTGTATGGTGATGTATAGGGCTGTATGGTTATGTATGGAGTGTATGGTTATGTATAGGGGAGTATGGTGATGTATTGGGGTGTATGGTTATGTATGGAGGTGTATGGTGATGTATAGGGGTGTATGGTGATGTATAGTGGTGTATAGTGATGTATAGGAGTGTATGGGAATGTGTAGGGGAGTATGGTGATTTATAGGGGTGTATGGGGATTTATAGGAATATATGGTGTTGTATAGGGGTGTATGGTTACGTATGGAGCTGTATGGTGATGTATAGGGGTGTATGGTTGTGTATGGAGGTGTATGGTGATTTATAGGGGTGTATGGTGATTTATAGGGATGTATGGTGATGTATAGAGGTGTATGGTGATGTATAGGGATGTATGGTGATGTATAAGGGTGTATGGTTATGTATGGAGGTATATGGAGATGTATAGGGGTGTATGGTGATGTATAGGGGTGTATGGTTAGGTATGGGGGTGTATGGTGATGTATAGGGATGTATGGTGATATATAGAGGTGTATGGTGATGTATAGGGGTGTATGGTGATGTATAGGGATGTATGGTGATGTGTAGGGATGTATAGTGATGTGTAGGGGTGTATGATGATGTATAGTAGTGTATGGGAATGTATAGGGATGTATGGTGATGTATAAGGGTGTATGGTTATGTATGGAGGTGTATGGTGATGTATAGGGGTGTATGGTGATGTATGGGGATGTATGGTGGTGTATAGTGGTGTATGGAGATGTATAGGAATATATGGTGTTGTATGTGGGTGTATGGTGCTGTATAGGGGTGTATGGTTATGTATGGGGGTGTATGGTGATGTATAGCGGTGTATGGGGGTGTACGGTGAGGTATATGGATGTATGGTGATGTATAGGGGAGTATGGTGATGTATGGGGGTGTATGGTGATATCTAGGGATGTATGGTGATTTGTAGGGGTGTATGGTTATGTATGGGGATGTATGGTGATGTATAGGGGTGTATGGTGATGTATAGGAGTGTATGGTTATGTATGGGTGGTGTATGGTAATGTATAGGGATGTATGGTGATGTATAGGGGTGTATGGTGATGTATAGGGGTGTATGGTGATGTATAGGGATGTATGATGATGTATAGGCGTGTATGGTGATGTATAGTAGTGTATGGGAATGTATAGGGATGTATGGTGATGAATAAGGGTGTATGGTTATGTATGGAGGCGTATGGTAATATATAGGGATGTATGGTGATGTATAGGGGTGTATGGTTATGTATGGAGGTGTATGGAGATGTATAGGGGTCTATGGTGATGTATAGGGGTATATAGGGGGATATGGTGATGTATAGGGGTATATGGGGGTATATGGTGTTGTATAGGGGTATATAGGGGCATATAGTGTTGTATAGGGGTATATGGTGTTGTATAGGGGTATATAGGGGTATATGGTGTTGTATGGGGTATATAGGGGTATATGGTGTTGTATAGGGGTATATAGGGGTATATGGTGTTGTATAAGGGTATATAGGGGTATATGGTGTTGTATAGGGGTATATAGGGGTATATGGTGATGTATAGGGGTATATAGGGACATATGGTGTTGTATAGGGGTATATGGTGTGTAATAGGGGTATATAGGGGTATATGGTGTTGTATAGGGGTATATAGGGGTATATGGTGTTGTATAGGGGTATATAGGGGTATATGGTGATGTATAGGGGTATATAGGGGCATATAGTGTTGTATAGGGGTATATGGTGTGTAATAGGGGTATATAGGGGTATATGGTGTTGTATAGGGGTATATAGGGGTATATGGTGTTGTATGGGGTATATAGGGGTATATGGTGTTGTATAGGGGTATATAGGGGTATATGGTGTTGTATGGGGTATATAGGGGTATATGGTGTTGTATGGGGTAATAGGGGTATATGGCGTTGTATAGGGGTATATAGGGGTATATGGTGTTGTATAGGGGTATATAGGGGCATATAGTGTTGTATAGGGGTATATGGTGTGTAATAGGGGTATATAGAGGTATATGGTGTTGTATAGGGGTATAGGTGTTTATAGTGTAATAATAATAATATATAGTAAGATATAATAACTTTGTTTAGGTACATAATAATAATCATATATGAAGTACCTACCGTAAATACCGAAATAACCGCTGACCCCTACACGCGCTGACCCGTAACGTCCGTTGGAATGTATGTAACGAAATACAAGCAGCCCACATTCAAAGTGCTTGGAGACTAGCTGAGGCTGAATTCATCATCATTATTAGGAAAAACATAAAACTGTTTCACTTCACGATTTCTGGTGATAGAAAGACTGTTTTTTTTAACTCATATTTCACGTATTTGTTTGGATCCCGCCGCAGTTCGGACAAATGAACGCTGTCACGCGACAACATTTCCAAGATTCAACTCTCCTTAGCCGGATGGTAATTTTCGAGTTATTCTCTTTTTCTGCGAATCTTTCATTTTCCTTTCTCTTTTAATTCTATATACTTCTATTGAGGATGGTTTTGAGCGCCTAGCAAGGCTTAAAGTGGCGTTTACCACGCTATCCTTGGCCATATTGGTAACAGAGAAGTGTTTCGCCGAAGTGGCAACTTAACAGTAAATACGGTAACTTTGAACGGTTTTTACAACGTCAGTATACTTTGGCCGAAAAATGTTTTTCCGAAAACGTGATGTATATCCCTCCAATGTCTGATTCATCACTGTGATTGCTTTCAGCAGCGTTGGACTTTTGAGAAATTATTATTTTAAAATCAACTCCAACGCTCCATCTAATTTAATATGCAATATTTGAAAATTTATTTTTTATTCCCTTCGGCAGTTTTTCGATGTTTATCGAATGATATTGCATTAAAAGGCCTTTTTCTTCATCACTGTGTGGTTTTCTCGTTGTTTTGCGTCGCGATAGGGATTTCTGAACCGTTTTTTGCGAGAGCTTATTTTAGGCCTGATTTTGCTGCTATCAGACGGAAAAAGTTTGCGGCTCGATATTTTTGGTTTAAAGCGAAACTGAAACAAAAGAAATTCATTTTTGAATAGTATTCGGTAACCTCTACTTGGGAGATAAAAATCGGCCGATTTTATTTTTTAGCCGAAAATCATCGGTC